CCACCAAATCGCAGCCGACGCTGCCGAGACCTCATGGCGCAAAATGTGGCCCACAGCCCAGCCCAGCCCTGAAACGGTGGCTGTGGGCACCAGGTAATGATGTCACATAACAACACCCAGCTCCCTCTCCCTAGCAGTTACATATTTTGCCCTTTGTTCTCCCTGCGGGATCTACAATAATAATCTGTTTGTGTTGATATTTACTGCTGTGTTGCTGACAATTACCTGAAAGAGAAATTGGGGTGCTTCACTGGGCTGGGAAAAGTTTAGCTACATCAGAAAACTGGTCTAATTAAGCAAGTTTGTCCTCTATATATAGAAGGCTAAGTTGACTTGCATATACGCGATACATATAAAACTCTCACTGGGGCCAATCGCACGTGTGTGTTTCAATCTGTCATTGTCAATTGTGAATTTGGTTACTTCCATTATAGAGAAAGGGCGAATAGCGACATTAAAATATTTCTTCTTCCTTCAGTGTGCACGAATTGTTGCACCGGGCCACTAGTTACCATATAAACAAGTGTATGTAAGAATTTGGACTTTAATCCCCAAGGCAGCACATCAGGAAAGCACACAGGCACTGCTACAGGACTCCAAGCTGGTGTGGGCCTCAGCTCCCCCACCCTCCCAGATCCCATGTGGGCTTATGATGGGATGGGGGAGAGGCTGGTGGTGTCACAACATACAAAGAATGGGCATACAGCACAGAGGGGAAAGGTGTACAGACAGGCAGCAGGAAGCATTCAAACAAAAGGCATGAGCAAGCACACACACAAAGCAAGCACCCCCATGGGGGTGGGGGGAAGGTGTGCATGCACAAGGCAGGTAAGATACACTCAGAGGCCGAGTTTACACACTCAGATAGGTCAAGAGCATACACAGAGAAAAAAAAAGTAGGCATTATGCTGGAAACAGTAAACACAAAGAAAGGGGATAGGTATACAGACACCACTCACCCCCCACCCCGGGAAACCAGTATAGACCTCCAGGACAAGGCAGAAGAAGTATTATACAATCAGTGAGGGCTCAGGTATACACACACAGAAAGCAGGCAGGTAGACAGCCAAGAGGACTGCACACACAGAGGATGGGCACTGACATATAGGGACAGACGTGCACTTTCCCAGGGAACAAGCAAACACGCACTGAGAGGCTCACCCTGAAAAATGATTCGGGTCAGGTCAAGGTGCCTTACCTCTCTATTATTTCTCTCCATGAAGGCTACGGCTGCTGGGCTGACCATATGGTCCTTCATTTCCTGGGGGTGAGGACAGCATCAGAGAGTAAAGACGCCCCAACCTCCACCCTTATCCCATCATAACCTCCTCTCACCTGGACCGCTTCGCGCATCCGCTCCACGAAGACCTTTCTCTCCTGCAGGTCCCCAGCTGCGAGCTTGAACTTGCCTGGGTTGGCTTCCACTATGCGTAGCCCCCGGGTCAAGAGTCAAGGCCACAGCTAGACACAACCCCCTCATCGGCCTCAAAGCCTTCAACTCCTCCCCGGTGTCCAGCCCCCAGGTCTCCCTGCCACCGAAATGGCCTCTCCCAGGCCTCCCTCCAACCCTCCGACCCGCCAGGATATCGATGGTCTCCTCCAGGTCTTCGAGGTCCCACTCGATGCTGCGCAGGCCATTCCGCAGTTCATTGGTCGTCCAGTCCAGCTCCTCGCGGCCGACCGCGGCGCCCTCCTGCAGGAGCTCACACCAGCGCTGGTACAGCCCGCGGGCTGTGTTCACCGCCTTCTGCACCTCGCTGCGGGCAGGGGCACAGCGGGCGCGTCTGGGTGCCGCCCGCCGCTGCGCCCCCAAACGAGTGGGGGAGCTCAGAGGACCCCTACATCATCTGGCGTACCCCTCCCACTCGGCCACGGGGTGATCCCGACCCGCGCACCCCCAGACCGCTTGGCACCCTGCGGCCCGCATCCGAGCACTGGCTGGCAGGGGCCTGAGCACCCTCTGCCTGCCCCCATCGCTGTCACTCACCCTCGGACTACAAAAAACGGGTCTTCGAGAGACATGTCACCGCCCCCCGTGGGAGACCGAGCCCCCTCCCCTCCCGGCCTGGAGAGCTGGTTTCCTCGCGGCGGGGGAGAACGCGCCACCACCCCCGCCCCCGTCACGTGACCCAGGCCACCATCGAGAGCCGGGCCACGAGGAGAGAGAGAGGCCCCAAAAGCCGGAAGTGCAGAGCTCCCGCCGCCGCGGGCATCTTGGCTGTGGGCAGAGGCGGCTTTCCGTGCGTGTGCCTCCGCCCTTCGCGTCCGCCGCTCCCGCCGCTCTCAGCCTTTCCGTAGTTCCGCCTGACCAGGCTGGAGTCTGAACTCGGCGTCTCGGGTTCGAGACCCAGCCCCTTGAATTGTTGCTGCGCAACCTCAGTTTCCCTTCCCGGCAACATAAATAATAAGCTCTCAGCCCTAGCTGGTTTGGCTCAGTGGATAGAGCGTCGGCCTGCGGACTGCAGGATCCCAGGTTCGAATTTCATCAGGGGCACATGCCTGGGTTGCGGGCTTGATCCCCAGCGGGCGCCATGCTGGAGGCAGCCCACCCATGATTCTCTCTTATCGTTGATGTTTCTATCTCTCCCTCTCTCTTCCTCTCTGAAATCAATAAAAATATTTTTTTTAAAAAATAAAAAATAATAAGCTCCCAGAAATCAGACGAGATTGTGGCTGGGGAAGGGGCTCGCTCGATTCGTAGACCCTTTTAACGGGCTCCTGGAGCCTGCACCCGCATCCTGTGCAGGGAGATGCCCCAGCCTGGGGTCGGGAGTGGCAGGTTTAGGGAGGGCTGGGGGAAAGGCGGTCGTCCCCGCCTTCCTGCGGGCGGGCTGAAGTGGGGGCGTTCTGTGGGTAGTTCTACTCACTCTCCTCTTTTTTTCCTCCTGGGAGTCGCGGGAGGGTGCGGGGGTGGCTCTGAGGATTGTTTCCGGAGCAGAGCGGTCCTCTGCGTGCGGGGTCTCCGTCTGGGGAGAGATCAGGAATGTTTGGGGAGGAATTTTCAAAGTCTCTGTCACGCAGGGGCGTTTCTTTTGGGGCCATGAAAGCACTTTTTTGGGGGTGCGGGGAAGCCATCGCCTGAATGACGTCCTGATCTCCCTCTGGGCGGTGGGCGGGATCCCTGAAGAAGTCCTTGGAGGGTCGCCCCTGTGTCCGAGTCCCTGTGTGGGGTTTTAGCGTTAGTACCTGGGTTGGGGATGCCATTGTGGAGTCTCTGAGGTGCCAGCGTGGGGGACATTCTCAGCCGGTCAGCGCAGCGTGTGGCAGGAAAGGCCGCGGAATGGGGACGGTTGCTGTTCGGGGTCTTTTAGGGATTGTTGAGCCCCCAGGTGCAGGGGGCGGGACCTGAGCGTCCTCCGAGGGTGCATGAGATTAATTTGGGGGGGAGCAGTAATACCTGGGAGGGGGCCTGTGGGGAGAAATAACTGGGGAGACTGGAATAAAGGTGCCCTCGCCGGGCCGCCCCTAGTGCAGGCAAGGTCTTTGTGGGAGATGGCGTCAGTGGGCGCCCTGAGATCACCCCAACCCGCCCAGGGGGCATTCCCGGAGGGGCGTCCCGCCTTCCTGGCCTCCCGGGAAGGAAGCGAAACCTTCCCCTTCGGCCCCACTGGACGCGGGTCCGGAAGCCGGGGGCTCCGGACAGCCCCAACCCGGAGAGGGGAAAGGAAGAGGGCGTGTCTGGAGGCCAGGCCCCGCCTACGCCCGGCCGGAAAAAGCCGGCTATGGCCCAGTACGGAGAGCCCGGCCCCTGTCCTTACATGGGCAGCCGGAAGTGGCTCGGCCACCTGCCCTACGTCATTCCTTCCAAATTTAGTCTGGATGTCGCGCGGACCCTGTGGCGGGAAGGCCCGGCGCTCCAGTCGAGCGGGCGGAGCCTCCCCTTAAAGTGCCCGTACCACGAATGAATGGAGCCATTCAAACAATGTTGCAGCGTTTTGGAGGGGAGGAACTGGGAGTAGATTTTCTAGGAGAGGCAGCGCGTGGCGAAGGGTAGGGTCGATATTCTCTATCTGTCCTCTCTCTGCGTTGCTCGGTGTCCAACTCCTACCCCAACCGCGCCTCCGGGTGCAGAGGCAGAGCGCGGCCCGGTGGTTTAGGGGCCGGTGGTTTAGGGGCCGGTGGTTTAGGGGCCGGTGGTTTAGGGGCCGGTGGTTTAGGGGCCGCAGCATGAGTTCAACCGGATGTCGTGTGGCCGGGCCCTCCACCTTGCGTGGAGCTTGTGCCGAAGCAAATCGGGAGGATGTTCAGTGCGGAGAGCAGAGATGGCAGCTTGGGATGCGCTCATATCTGCAGGCTTCCGCCGCCAGTGCAGCTGGCAATTTAGCCTCGAACCAGCCAGCTTACCCTGTTCCGCTTACGGGCAGGGGGAGTGAAGAGGGCTGGCGTGGGTTAGATGCTATAGAGGCGCAGGCCTCCTTTCGCTACAGTTGGCCCATTTATTCGTTTAGCAAATATTGGACTAGTCCGTCAGCCTCGGTTTCCCCACGTGAATAAATCAAGTACAACAGCAGTACCGTCCGTGAGGGATCAAGGAGATCTTTATGAAAGGAAAGCCTTTAGCATCGTCTGGCACGTATTAATCAGTTAGTTGTGTGTTAATCAATTAGTTAGTGTTAGCACTGTTATTGGTTCAAGAAACACTAATGAGACGCCTGGAACTGTGCCCACGGGGGATGTACGGGCTCAAACCCGGGTATTCCCCGGCGCGAAGGAAAACCAGCCGCCTACGACCTGCGGGGGCCAGCGAACTCTAGCACGTGGGTGGGCCCTGAGCCTCACCCTCGGCCCCGCTCCCCGGGGCCTGCGCGCGGGCGCACTGAGGCGGGAGGGCTGAGAAAGGAGACCACCCCAAGTGCTCAGGGTACTGGGGAAGGCTCCCCCGCGTCCGGGCTAGTGTCCCTTTTGTCTGTCCGGTAAATTCCACCCTGTCGCTTTAAGGTTGAAGTCTCTGGCCCCAACGCGGTGGAAAGCCGGATGCAGCGCTCTGATTGGGCGGGGCGTCATGGTGACGTAGCTCCGGGTACAAATGGGCCCCGGTGGCGGGCGCCGGGGCAGAGCGTCCTAGGGGTGTATCGGCATCCGTCGGCGTGAGCGGAGAAAGCGTGAGCCAGCGCGCAGTCCGAAGTGCATCTGCTCAGCAGGGAAGTCCCCACCGTCGAGTCGCCATGGAGGTGCAGAAGGAGGCGCAACGCATTATGACCCTGTCGGTGTGGAAAATGTACCATTCGCGCATGCAGCGCGGCGGGCTGCGGCTGCACCGGAGCCTGCAGCTGTCTCTGGTCATGCGTAGCGCCCGGGAGCTTTACCTCTCGGCCAAGGTGGAAGCCCACGAGCCGCCCGAGGTGCCCTCGCCAGTCGCCCGCTCCCTCGACCCTCGCCTGCACCCACCGCGGGAAGCACAAGCCGCAGCGGAAGCAGCGTCCGCCGACGGTGAGCAGCCCTGCCCGGAGCCCATGGACACTCAGGAGGCGCCGAAAACCGAGGAGACCCCTGAGAAAGCCCGTCTAGAAGAGGAGGGCGCGGAGGGAGGGGAGTCCGCGGAGGTCCCCGAGCGCCTGCAGGCCCCTCCCGCGCAAGCGGAAGGTGCCTTCCCCAATCTGGCGCGCGTCCTGCAGAGGCGCTTCTCCGGCCTCCTGAACTGCAGCCCCTCAGCGCCCCCGACAGCGCCTCCGCCGCCGGCCTGCG